ACGTAGAAATTATATGGAGAGTTCTATATTGTATTAGAAGTAATTTGTTTCTCTATGTTAAATGTAAATAAAAAATTAATGTCTTAAATTTTTTTTATTGATATTTATGGGTGCATCAAATTATTTTCAAAACTTTTTTTGATAGAATATTAGTATTTAATAGTTGAATATATATATATATATATATATATATATATATATATATATATATACATATACTATCAATAATCTAAAAGATACTCTAAAAGGTGTTTGTTATTCTAAAATTTGATTAACTTCTATACATTTATAAAGATCACATGAAAGATTTCTACTTTCTATGGTAATGCACAAAAACATAAGTATGTCTTAGTTGTAAACATGTTCTAATGCTTTAGCATTTTAGTTGGTGGAATATTATTTTTCAACTTATAAAAAACATCCTCCATCATATAATTGTTTTTCTTGTCCTTACTTGACTTGGATCAAATATTAATTCTTTTGGAATTCATATAACTATTGATGAAGGTTGAAGTGATTAGGTATTTATGATTTATCAATAAACATCTTGCATAATCAATATATGTTTGATGTTCTAATTTTTTCACTTTTTTTTTGAATTGGAGATCTTTAATTTCTTTAGTGTTGGTTCTTAGATCATGATTCTTTATAGAAAGTCAATTTTTAAATCATAGATATAACTTTGTAATTGGCAATTTTTAATTCTTTACATATTGCACAACAATTTTTTATCTCTATTACTTTATTTAAGCATTTTTTTTTTTTTTAATTTTTTCTACTAGGACTATATAAGTCTTGTTGAAAAGCAAGAAATCTTAGATGAGTTATAATATAAATTTTTTAAACATTGTTGTTTAAATATATTAAAAAAAATATAAAATAAAATAAAATAAAATAACTTGTCTAGAAATACTACTAGCATTGATTTGATTTGTTTCAAACAATTGTAATAAGGTTCTAATAGGCAAAAAGTATTATAATGCTAACAATAAAATTCCTAGCTAAAATGTATGATCTAGTATTGAACAACTTTTCACAATATAGACATAAATTCATTGAAGTAATTGATGTGTCAAATTAAATAAAATTATTTCTAAAAACACCATATGATAAAAAATAAAGAATTTTTTCTTTATAATTTTACATAGTTTTAATATTTAATAATAATAGGCTAAATATATCTAATTTATTTTCTATATTTAAATCATGTTTAATTGATATTGCATCTTTATCAGTTTGCTACTAATAACTCATACATAATTTTTTCT